ATTGCTCAGACAGTTGACACTGCTTAGCTGTGGTAGTGATCAAGTTGCTAATGATGGCAAATAGAAACATTTTCTCGTGTTTTCCACGCTTGCGCTTTCGAAATGTAAGTAAATGACTTGGTTTCTTTAAGGTTCCAATTATATTAATAATTAACTGAGAGCTATTACCCCAAAGGCCAATATAATTCATGGCTGGGTCCAGAAGGAGAATACAGTGAGACCCATTTTATAATTATTAATGTGATTTGCTGGAGGGGGAAAAGCAGATATTTTATTTTATTTTATTCTTATATTAATTAAGTTAAAGCCTTATACAATGAAAAATGTTTCTTTGGCACAAATACATTTTGTGCAAATTGTGTAAACAAAATAAAGTGCAAATGTGTCAAAATTATATTACCTTAAAATACTAGATTTTAAGGTAATACAATTTTGACACATTTTTCTTTGTATAGGAGTTATTTGGAATTATGAGCAGTAGTTCTGTCTTTAGGCCACATTTTTTACTTTTTTCTCTGAACGATGAAGACAGGGACCAGCACTCTGTATCTAGCGCAGAAACCCGCCATTTAATGCAACTACAGCTCTTATACACACACAATGAAAGCAATGTGTTTTTCCCCTATGGTTGTTAGCGAGGGCCTCATGTTTGAGTTTTGCCTAAGCCATAGCAAAGTCTAGACTCACCACTGCACTTATAGCGAGCACAGCCTGCTGCAGTGCTTATAGTGCCAGTATTACTTTGGCTTCCTCCCAGAGTAAGTAGTCACACCATTTAACAATGGTTTACCAACTTACCTTGGTCACCCTGGGACCAAATGCCATATTCTCCGCTATCGGAAGCTCATGCCAACTGAGCTAGTAATGCCGTGCAGGACTGCGCTCATTAACCTCTGAGCTCTCAGCCAATGAGCCGGCCCTGTACAACAGCAATAGCTCAGTGAGGCTAACAAAAGCTTCTTGCAGGATAGTCAGCTGTCCGGTGGGTGTTTTTAGTGTTAAACAGGTCAAGAACAGGTTAACACTTATATGCAAGACTGCGTCTGGGCCTCCAGGCACCATAACAACTTCAATGAAATGATGACATGCTACACAAACTTAAGCCCTGCACTCAAACTCCCACTACTCCCACTACTCTTGGGCGGCAGCAGTGGCTATAGTATTCATCTGCCCAAACACATAGATGGAAAAAAGTTATCTGCACGCTATCCTAAATCCCTATGTACGTTTAAATGATGATGATTTTAGTATTACTCCAACGCCCATTAAACTGTAAGCTCACCTGCCACGGCAAGGCAAACCTATTAGGTGAGTCCTACACAAGTTGTTATGGTGCCTGGAGTGTCATTTCCTGTATTTTAGTTTGTTTGGAGCAGTTTAAAAAGAGTCACTGGCCCCTGTGGCAGCAATCAGGGGATGGACTGTAAAAGCTTTTGGTTTGTTTGAGCATTTTTCTTGCAAAGTGCCTTTTGTTTTCTAATTGTTTTTGTTTCAGCGTTTTCAGCGCGGCAGACGTCAGATACCTGATGATGTTGAACAGAAAGTAGATCAACTTCCAGGTACATTAAAACACTGTGTGTGATTGCTGTGTATACATGTAAGTGTATATCTATCGATATCCATGGAGACTGAACAAGTTCTAGCATTTTAAAACCTGTATGAGACCTAACGTGGACCCACCAAAGAGCAAGCTGACTGAGCTCCAGTCAATTCTTACCGTTCTCATAAACTCTTGTTTATTGCTTATAATTAAATACTTACTCCAATCATCATAACAACTATGGCCATCTGTAATGATTATGATGCTAGGAGAAGCCGGACGCCAATACCGTCAGTAATTCAGTGACCGAGAATGTCAACTGAGCTCTCTCATGGAATATGCACAAAATTCACATTATCCGAACACTCGTTCCAGACTGGCTAATGACACTCATCTAAATATCTCTGTGTGTTCAGATTTCCAAGCACCATAACCACAGCAAATCACTAAAGTGGTTATGGTGCTTGGAGGAAGCCTTTAACATTAAGATTTCTATAGTTAGATTGTTTCCTGAAAACAATGCACAGAATATACAATGTTGATGTTTCTGGCACGTTAGATTGCAGAGTTGATGTTTTCGGGAAGGTAGTTCCCCTTATATATACTGAACAAAATTATAAACGCAACACTTTTTTGTTTTTGCCTCCATTTTTCATGAGCTGAACTCAAAGATCTAAGACTTTTTTTTATTATTATTATTTTCTTTTTGTATTTTTGAAATACAGGTGAGTACAACAGTGCCAACATTGCCACAACAGCATTCCCATGCTCATTCGATATAAGCAAACAAAAGTTATGGCATGTTGTGTGTGTGTGCACATTTTTGTATTTATAAATTAAAGTTTTGAACCTAGTGTAACGTAACAGAAGTGTAGTAAAATACAAAGTGAAACGTTGCCTGAGCCACCGTGCGCTTGCAGATGAGTAGTTAAGATAATGGATGCAATGCTTCCATTCTATTGTGTTGTGAGGCTAGGACCTTGGTGCAGTAAGTGTGTCTCCGGGTTGATCTGTGTTCTAGTAACGTGCGTATGCTAGGCAGTGGCGTATTAAGGATTTGTGCTGCCCTAGGCAGGACGGTGCTAGGGCATCCCCCCCCCTAAATTAAATTTTCCCCACCCCTTCCTGTCAAGGCTGCACTTTGACTGAAAGACACTCACTCACTGACAGACACACACACTTTCATAAACACTGACTAACAATGACATAAACACACTCACTGACAGACGCACACTCTCACTGACAGACGCACGCACTTACTGACTGACGCACACACTCCTGACAGACACACGCACTCACTGACCGACACATACACACTGAATGACCGACACACACACACACATTCAGTGACCGACACACACACACACATTCACTGACAGACACACACACTCACTCACATTCACTGACACACACATTTCCCCCACTCACAATTATTATTTAATTTTTTTTACATTGAAGTCCACCCAGCCTCCCTACTTTTCGGATAGCTGGGTGGATTTTTCACCTGGGGTCCAGTGGGGCTGCTGGGCAGGGAGGCAGCTGGACAAATTCCGGGTCCCGGCATTAATGCGGGTCGCGTAAGGGAGTTGAGCAGAGAGAGCTCAGGGGAAAGTGCTCCTACGCCCGGGGGAGCCATTTTTTCCACCCAAGGCAAATACTTGAAAACGAGAGAGAAATCTCAATGTATCTTTCCTGGTAAAATATTTTATAAATAAATAAATGCCTTGTTTGCCTCATGGTAGACCTGATGTTGGGGCGGCCTGAGGCATTAATGGGAGTTAACATGGTGGTGAAGCTCCTTAACCCTGGAGTCGGGGGGGGGGTTGTTATTCTCTTCGCAGTATAGTTGCGTTTCTATTGCAACTATGGCACTATAGGTTGCTCACCAGGCAGAGTAATCTAAAATGGCGTTCTGTGTGTCAAATATGTGTTGGCATTCTTGGATAGCAAGATAAGCAGAAAGTATATAAGGGATAACAATATGCAACTCATTATAACATAATGCTAGCTGGTGGAGCTTTGAGTACTTAGTGTCTGGCATCATCACTTCCTCATTAGGCGTTAGGAAGCTTCATTGTGCCTCTTCATACTGGGGCTGTCAGTCCCGATGGAGTGAATGTTGTGATGTTGGCAACATCCCACTAATGTGCGGGTCCCGTCTTGGCGCCTGTAGTCGGGTGGATGCCCAGTGCTTGCAAGGATTGTGCCACTTCCATCAGCGAGGTCAGTCGGTGGCTATGCCCTTCCCGTTTGGCGATGACTGTTCTTGGGTATCCCCATTTATACTGTATGTCGGCTGCTCTCAGCTGAGTTGTGTTGTTTCTTTCAGAGATGCGTGCCACTTTAGTGTCTGGTGGCTCAGGTCCTGGTAGTAGTTTAAGGCGTAGTCTTCAGATGCGTACGGGGTTTGTCCCCAGATGGTGCGGAGGAAGCTTACTTTAACTGAGCAGGATTTAAAGCTCATTATTACCACTCTTGCGGAGTCTGGGTTATTGCGTGCGCATCCCAGTAGACAGAATAGGCCGTCTAGAGTCAGTCCCTTGGCCTGCTTGGGCGGTAGGACAGCCAGGAGCAGTCTCTTAATAAAGTGCGGTAGTTTGTCTACGGTCACAGTGTCAGGGATCCCCCTCACCTGTAGGTTCCGTTGTCTTGCCATATCCTCTCACTCGTGCATTTAACTGTGTGCACGTGGCTACCAGCTCCTGTGTCTGCTTAGCCGTGGCGTCCTGTTGTGCCTTCAGGTCCTGAACCTCTTCTTCCATTGCCCTTATTCGGCCTGTAAGAGTGCCCAGCTCAGTCTTAAGACCTGCTAGTTCCGCCGTGAAGAAGGCCTTAAGGTCAGTCACCATGCCTGATAGCCAGTGGGAGTTCCGTTTGGTGCTTCCGTTGGGGTGTTGGGGTCGACACATCACTCAGGTAGTCGTCCTCTGAGGAAGTGACTCCAACCCCAGGTCTGTGCGAAGTTGCTGGATATTGGCAGGACCTGGAACACACTGTCGTATACGCCGATACAGAGCATCCTAAACATGCTAGATGGGTGACATGTCCGGTGAGTATACTGGCCATGCAAGGGCATAAAAACAAAAGTGTTGCGTTTATAATTTTGTTCAGTGTACATTTCCAGACATTTGTAAAGAAACTCACCTAACCCCGTATCCCCTAGTGTGTCTCCCCATACAGGGAGACTGCCTCCTACCCATAATCCACTACTGTTTGATACCAGAATATATCTGGAGTTTCAGCCAACCTTAATGTTCCCATTATTTATAATGACAATGCTGAGCATATCCCATAAACTCAGCAGGTGTGTGTCTAGTTCAGCACTTGGCAGTAGTTTCATTCAGTAAAATTCAAACTGTTTCTTGAGCTACGTTCTCCAGTCATGTTTTTAAATTAATGGAGCTAGTGGTGGCCACTCGTTTAAACATAACATATGTTCTCCCAGTGAAATCTGGAAAATATGTCAGTTATCAAAACTGAATACACGGGAGGTGGTCACAGGCGCCTGGCAGGATCCAGGTAAGGAGTAAAACCATACTTGGAGTATTCCTAGGAATGTCCATGAAAGACTGGAGTCGATACAATATTTACTGTAGATCTATCTCACTGACATCTATTGAAACTGGAAGGCATGTACATTGCGTGCTCCTGTAATAGCATCGAGTACGGGGGACTTCTAGCAGCTGGGATTATTATTGTTTACTCTGTATTTATCTTTTATTTCCGTGTTTTTATACTCCTTGATTTAAAGCTGCTCTCTTGGTCTGTGTTATCTATAATGGCATTACCTCCTCTACTTTATGTAACTGTCTTATTTATTTATTGAGTGATACTGTCTGCTGACATTTCCAAATGTTGTATTTTTTTCTTGTTACTAATTCCCGGGATGTCCAGAGATCTCAGGCGCTCCTAAAGGTGACACCAGCTCCCAGGCAGACAACGCAAAGCTGAGTGCTTTGCAGAAACAGCTGGACATTGAGCTGAAGGTGAAGCAGGGAGCAGAGAATCTGGTTAAAGCATATTCCAATGATCCTCCCAAAGTAAGTCGGATACATTGAAATTGTGTTTAAAAAGAAAGAACCATTTTTTATGTTTACATGACATGCCTTTTACACACTAATAGCATTCAAGCTGCTTTAAGCAAATAGTTTGCAGGTGATATAATATTTGTTCCTGAAATTAAGAGAGGTGATTCAACTATATATCCAAGAGTTTCTCTCACAGTGAAATAGTTGAAGGCATGCGCTTTTTTTAAATCAATCATGAAGCATTTTTCAAAATTCTAATTGAAAAGGATGAATGTTTTTTGAAAGATTCTCCTTCTATAATGCGTGTCTATAATTTAGTCTACCTGCAAAGAAGCACTGTAGTGTGCCTAGTGCCCGTTACCCCAGATGCAAGCATTCCGCTGCTGTATTTTGAGCCATAAAGGCTCTCGTATACTGAAAGGGAAACAAAATGAACTGGATTTATAGTCCTTGCATGTTATATACAAGGATTGCCTGACATAATCATATTTTAATATCTGCGTGAAAATCATTGTTTGAGATCAATGAGAATCAAACATAGTCCATGTGTATCCTGGGCTGTGAGTAGTTAGAGTTTATTTCCTAGAATGAGGTTAATTAATCCTATATCTCTTCATACAGTTTAATCAGCTATCTGACTATTCTTATTACTGTTACAGAATGCCAAACATATTGCTGCTGTCCAGAAAAAACTTAAAGGCAGTGAGAAAAAAATAGCCAGTTTGCGCAGTCGAATCCAGTCTCTTATAAAAGGTAAACGTTCAGTCCTCGTATGCAGTTTGAAAGAATATTAATGGGTAACAATGAAAATGTATTTTATATTTTTGTGAGTTTTAGTTTTTAATGTTTGGCTGTTTTACTGTGCCATGAGATATTCTGGGTGCCAACTGTTTTTATATATGATGATCCATAAGATACCTGTGGAGGTACAGAGTCCCGGGATGTGACTACTCTTTAAAGAAACAATCCAAGCACAATAGCCACTACAGATCATTATTGTTATGGTGTCAGGAGTGCCCTGGTGGCTCCATTGTAAGGAGTCTATTTGTTTTTCAATGGCTCAGGCCTCAGATCAGGAGAGCCAAGAGAAGTCCGTCTGCCCGGCTCTCCAACATTAGTAGTGTACGCACAGAGCTGCACCTGGGAAGAAAGCAAACTGTTCAAAGGCACATTGACGTCTAATAATGTGTTTCCAGGGCAGTACTTACACCATAACCACTACAGCGAGCTTAAATTCTCTTACAAGGAGGTATTAGAAAGCTGTACGTATCCCATAAACCCCTACACTCCAAGGCTTTATGAGGAAATGTACAGCTTTTTCCAATTGCATCGCCTTTGCACTTCCTCTTAGAAGTGGGAGGTAAAGGGAGTAATGAGAAGGTGCAAACAAATGTTATATTATTTCATAAAATTAAATATCAAAAAGTCTATGCTTGGATATAGTGTTTTTTATTTTATTCTCTGTTGCATTGAGTTTAAAACAATTGGAGTATTATTAATCACTGTGTATAATACACAATACTTACATTATATCATGTCTCAACCTTTACAGAACAACCATCGTTACCAGCTCCGGAGACAGACGTTAATACTGTTGCTCCTTCGCTGTTGGTGACGGACACACAGGAGCCAGAGCCGTCTGGGTATTCACTTTACATCTTTCTCATCAATGTTGTTCGGACCTGAATCCATCCCAGTTTACACCACCACACCTGCTCATTATCTATACGTCTATTGTATGTTTGTCTATGGCTGTCTATACATTTCTTAGCATGCGTATCAATTACAGATACATTTTAAAAGGCTGCCTACAGCTTGCATGCTTGTGTCGCCAGATCTCCTTATCTTTGCAGGACTCCTGTGAATTCTGCATTCTGCCAGGCAGGGTGTGAGAGTGCTTTGGATGTCACACAGGAAGCACAGAATGTAGAATTCTATACGGTGCAAAGACATAAAAATTGGCAACTCTAGTGAGAAGTATTCTTAGGGCGTCCTTTAAATAATGTCCTGTATATAGCAGCAATATTGTCTAAGATATAATGAGTATAGTGATATGACAACAAGATAAACTATTCTTTTCTTCAATTCTCATAGCGATTTTCCATTGAAATCAATTAACCCACCGGATGTGGAACTTGACTTAGAGGTGCCTCCTGCTCTAAGTCAGACATTTTTAGATGGCATTCAGCGTGAGATTTCAGCTTATATTAAGATCCAGAATATACTGGCCCAGGTAAAGTTCTAAGATTTTCTGCCTGTTTGTTACCACTAAAAATCATCATTAAACGAGCACTCTGTGTACAATAACCATTACAGCTCAGTGAAGTAGTTATGGTGCAAAGAGTCTGTGGATATTAAACGATTTAGGAGCATTTTGACAATTAAGGGATCTCTACCTGGCTCCCAGAGACGCCCCCTTGGCCTTATTGATAATGTAGAATTTACATTTTTGCACTATAAATATTGGGGATAGCTCAGACCTCTCAGCCAATCAATACCATCCAGGTTGCCTACAATTGGCATTGATAATACAGAAGTGTTAATTCCTCACTATCAATGTAGTGAGCTAGAATGGCTAGTTGACTTTGAGTTTGCTTTTAAAGCAGCCATGTTTCATTCCTTGATTGTTTGCGTTGACGACATCTTGGTTCAGTAAATAAAACAGACCGTCTCATGGTTTATCAAAGGCTAACAGTCACTTTCCATGACTTAAATACTAATAATAAATCACCTACAGTGTCCTTGCAATAATGCAAGTATTTGGTTAATTTAAGATTGAATATATTCTCGTATAAAACAAAGACAGAGAAATATATGCAAATACAGTGCAGTACTTCCATAACCGATAACAAAACGTGTATATATAATGGACAGACACTTACAAAGGAAAAGTACAACAAAAAGTGCACTAATAGCGCTTTGACCCAAAGGCGATTTACTCCAATAATTCCTTTTGTCTTCTAAAACTTTTAAGTATTAAATAGTTCTTGAATGTTTAAAATTAAAGATGTGTCCCCAAGCACCGTCTCTCCCTCTCCTCTCCTGCTCGGACTAACACGGGAACATTAGCGCAAGTAATGAAGACCCAGCAGTGACTGGATTAGAGAGTCAGCTAACATTCTCAGCCCATTGTGAGCAAAGGATAGAAATGTACTTACATTAGATAACGATGGGCAGCCGACTCTCTCAGCCAATCACTGAAGCCTCCTCACTGCTCGCACAACTTCTGCTTTGGCCTGAGCTGAAGAGACAGAGATTGGAGTCACATCTTTAGTGTTAATCCGTTCAAGAACAGGTTAACAGTTATATGTAAGACTGTGTCTGGGCCTCCAGGCACCATAACAACTTCAATGAAGTGATTACATGCTACACAAACCTAAGCCCATGGAATCAAACTCCCACTACTCTTGGGCTGCAGCAGTGGCTATAGTATTCATCAGCCCAAATACATAAAATAAAGAAAATGTTATCTGCGCTATCCTAAATCCCTATGTACGTTTAAATAATGATGATTTTAGTACCACTCCAATGATCATTAAACTGTAAGCTCACCTGCCACGGCAAGGCAAACCTATTAGGTGAGTCCTACACAAGTTGTTATGGTGCCTGGAGTGTCATTTCCTGTATTTTAGTTTGTTTGGAGCAGTTTAAAAAGTATCGCTGGCCCCTGTGGCAGCAACCAGGGGATAGACTGTAAAAGCTTTTGGTTTGTTTGAGCATTTTTCTTGCAAAGTGCCTTTTGTTTTCTAATTGATTTTGTTTCTGCTTTTTCAGCTCGCCAGAGGTCAGATACCTGATGCTGTTGAGCAGAAAGTAGATCAACTTCCAGGTACATTAAAACACTGTGTGTGATTGCTGTGTAAATATGTAAGTGTACATGCATCCCTTTGACACCATCATTGCGGCTTCATTGCCAGCACATTGCAAAGAGAACGGAGAGACACAAACTGTCATATGGCTGCAGAGGCGGCTCTAGACTTTATGAGGCCTTAAGCGAAACTCAAACATGAGGCCCCACTAACACCAAAGTTAAAAAAAAATAGAGTTGCAATACATGCACACTGTCACATACATACATTGATGCACAGTTTACCTGTGTATGTGCTTGAGAGTGTGTCTGACAGAGAGTATCCTTGTGTGTGTGAATGTATATCTCTGTGAGCATGTTTGCATTTTTATCTGGGACTGTATGTGTATGGGGTAGCTGCTAGAGGTGTGTTGTGTGTATGGGGCTCTGCTTGTGGCTTTTGTGCGTTGTGTTTATGGCAAAGCTATGTATCCTGATTGTGTGTGTATGATGAATGTCTTCAGCTGGTGACTGTGACAAGGTGAGTAAAGGGGTACCAGTGGCAGGGAGAGTGTGACAGGGCAAAGGTGGTAAAGGGGCAGGGTGGGGTTGTGAGAGAGAATGAGGGAGTATGACATGGTTTGATGAGGAAGTGTGACAGGGCGAGTGGAGGTAAGTGTGTCAGGGCAATTGTGGCATGGTAGGAGGGAACAGTGTGACAGGATTAAGGGGGTTTAATGTGACAGGGTGAGTGTGGCAGAGTGAGGGCAGGTGGGTTTGGAGGGGGTGAGATTAACAGAATTAGGAGTGGTTAATGTGAGTGTGAATGCATGAAGAGGCTGAAAGTGTGTGGGGGTGACGACAGTGTAGGGAGAGGTGACAATGTGTGGGGAGGTTACAGTGTGAGGTGATGCTAACATTGTGTCTGGGGAGGCTATGTGTGTAAGGGGGCGTGTGTGGGGTGGTGATCCTGTGTGTGAGTAGGTGATGGTAATGATGTGAGGGAGGGGTGGGGTGATGGTGAGAGTGAGGGTGATGGTGAGAGTGAGGGTGATGGTGAGAGTGAGGGTGATGGTGAGAGTGGGGGTGATGGTGAGAGAGGGGGTGATGGTGAGAGAGGGGGTGATGGTGAGAGGGGGGGTGATGGTGAGAGGGAGAGGGGGTGATTGTGAGAGGGAGAGGGGATAATGTGAGAGGGAGAGGGGGTAGTGGTGAGAGGAAGGGGAGGGTGATGGTGAGAGGAAGGGTGGTGGTGAGAGGGGGTGACGGTGAGAGGGGGATGATGGTGAGAGGGAGAGGGGGTGATGGAGAGAGGGAGGGAGGGGTCCCCTCATGCATCCATAAATATAGTAAAATCTTACTTGTATTCAACTCTGCAGCTGCTTACTTTGTCCCTGTTTCCTTTTGACCTGCCCACTGCCTGCTGACATCAGCAGAAGTGGTATCCTGATACCAAAATACATCTGTAATCTCAGCCAATCTTAATGTTTCCATTATTTATAATGACAATGCTGAACGTATCCCATAAACTCAGCAGGTGTGTTTAGTTCAGCACTTGGCAGTAGTTTCATTCAGTAAAAGTCAAACTGTTTCTTGAGCTACGTTCTCCAGTCTTTTTTTTTTAATTCTTTTTTTATTTCAAGTCAAGACACCGTAACAGAAAATCAAAAATACCACAATTGTATGCAACATATCAAGAATACATGGTTGCCACTCGTGTAAACATAAAAAATGTTCTCCCCATAAAATCTGGAAAAGACGTCAGATGTCAGGGATAGTACTATAACCGGGGCAGCTTGTCGCTGCTTTTCTCTAAATATTGTAGATATAAGAATCAGAAAAACAAAAGCACAGAAAGAGTAGCTTCTCACAACAAAATATCTGGAAGGTTACGGGTTATGATAATACATGAAGTGTCTGTTTAAATAAAAGTTTATGTACTGTGTAGTTGATTGAACCTTGATACTATCTGTCAACATTGTGATTTGACTACTGTCTTTCTTTTTAATTTTCAGAGTCTCCAAATTCTCAAGACTCTCTCCACACTGTCAGAGGGTCGTCAGCTAGTGATAGTTTCTCCACTGTTGACCTGAACTCTTCTACAAGTGACATCTCATTGGAAAGTACTGGTGGGTCATAGCTGTAATAACTGTTGCTTTTTCATTTTACAATAAGGTGGATGTTTAAGCGACTGTAAGACAGGAAATCATAACTTTTTGAACAGTTATTGCACATATTATGAATATGAGATTGTAGACGTTAGTGAGCAACAGATCATCCACATTATATAGCGTGAAAACATGGAAATTGAAATAAATAGTGCCAAGGATGGCTGTGCCTTGTTAGTTTTACAGAAATATAAATGAGTCCCGTGCACATTTTACAATAAACTAAATACAGAGTATACTATAACAACCACAGCTATAGGATGTATGGTGCCAGGAGCATCCTTGTACCACCCCATTGTAAGATGTCAAACTTTTTTTTGTATGATGTGACAGCTCACCTGCATTCTGTCAGGAAACTGTCCGCTGCAAATCCACATCCACTGCATTCAATGTTCTCCAACCAGAGAAGTCAGATGTCCCTATAAAATAATGCATGACCATTGATGGACTATGTTCATTGGCCAATGGGAGCTCAGCTGACGCTATCAGCCAATGAGCTCCATCCTACATTGTGGCAGACCTCTCTGCCTTTGGATTATCACTGTTTCGTCTGTTTGCTCGGTATTTGCCAATTGTTCGTATGGCCCTGCTTTCATTCACCTAAATACGAATGAACTACCGAATGGCAGGCCACCCAGCAGGGAACTGTGCTGTTCATTAACCTTTCTGCCCTCATTAACATTGTGGTTAACCGCAGACACTTCCAACTCCCGAACAGTCGGCTGGGTGGTCGTCATTCGTATGAATGAACACATGGCGGTGGCCACCTTGGACAGTCGAACGCCCAGCAGTGTTCGTCGACAAACTCATGGAACTAATTTCGGACACTACTTCCCACGAACACCGCTGAAATCACCGACCCTTCATCGTTCTGTTCAAGGTTCAATTGACAATGCATGAACAGAACTACCCAGATAGCCATCCCATGGAGCTCATTTATTTTGTCGAAAGCACCCTATACAAGACTTTAGCTCCATGGCGATTGAACTACATGTATGGGATCTGAGCGCTATTCAGTTATATTGAGCACTCAGATCTAAGCTATCTGGGGATACGGTGAATGTGGGGATTCTGTTCGGTATATTTAGAAATATATATTTTTATGTGTTGTTACTGTTCTTAGAAAATGGAGGATATTCCCTATCCCTGGAGGTAATTGAGTTACTTCTAGCACTTAACCCAATTATCTCTAGGATAGGGAGGAGGAGTTGTAATGTTCATGTGGGAGTGTTTATTACTGTAAATGTATGTGATCGGTTGCTGTACAAAGCTTTCTCAGTTTTCCACAAGGTCCCTATGGGAGTGTCCCTTGCTGGAAGACCTCCATAAAAGGCTGGCATGTAGCCCACATTAAACAGATCCTGCTTGCCTCTCAATACAGAGCCTCGTCTCGTACTTGGGGGATTATTCGTGTGTTTCCTGTTCGGCGCTTAGAAGTGTGCGCTAGCTGACTTTGCATTCGGGAAAGGGAACAGCTTTGGCGGCGTTAACCCCTTCTATACCCGGGGTGCCGTTACATACATGACCCTACTTTGCTTAATCGGCATTCTCTAACCAGAGACGACTGAATGCACGGGATGCGGTCACAGGTGCCTGGCGGAATCCAGCTGAGGTGTTGAACCATACTTGGAGTATTCCTAGAAATGTGCATGAAAGAGTCTACACAATTTTTACTATAAATCGATCTCTGCGACATGCACTGCTCAAAAAAATAAAGGGAAAACAAAAATAACACATCCTAGGGATCTCCTCCCAGGCCTGGACTAAAGCATCTGCCAACTCCTGGACAGTCTGTGGTGCAACGTGACGTTGGTGGATGGAGCGAGACATGATGTCCCAGATGTGCTCAATTGGAATCAGGTCTGGGGAATGGGCGGGCCAGTCCATAGCATCAATGCTTTCGTCTAGCAGGAACTGCTGACACACTCCAGCCACATGAGGTCTAGCATTGTCTTGCATTAGGAGGAACCCAGGGCCAACCGCACCAGCATATGGTCTCACTACGCTGACAGACACAGCAAACCTTCTTGCCACAGTTCGCATTGATGTGCCATCCTGGATGAGCTGCACTACCTGAGCCACTTGTGTGGGTTGTAGACTCCGTCTCATTCTACCACTAGAGTGAAATCACCGCCAGCATTCAAAAGTGACCAAAACATAAGCCAGGAAGCATAGGAACTGAGAAGTGGTCTGTGGTCACCACCTGCAGAACCACTCCTTTATTGGGGGTGTCTTGCTAATTGCCTATAATTTCCACCTGTTGTCTATCGAATTTGCACAACAGTATGTGAAATTGATTGTCACTCAGTGTTGCTTCCTAAGTGGACAGTTTGATTTCACAGAATTGTGATTGACTTGGAGTTACATTGTGTTGTTTAAGTGTTCCCTTTATTTTTTTTGAACAGTGTATATTAATATTGGAAATCTCTGGATCTGTGGCATCTATAATTGCATTACCTACTCTACTTAATGTAACTGTCTTATTTATTTATTGAGTGATACTGTCTGCTGACATTTCCAAATGTTGTATTTTTTCTTGTTACTAATTCCCGGGATGTCCAGAGATCTCAGATGCTCCTGCAAGTGACACCAGCTCCCAGGCAGAGAACACAAAGCTGAGTGCTTTGCTGAAACAACTGGACATTGAGCTGAAGGTGAAGCATGGAGCAGACAATCTGATCAAAGCATATTCCAATGATCCTTCCAAAGTAAGTCGATTACACTTACATTGAGTTTACAAAGAAAGAATATTCTTAATAAATTTTGTTGGGGGGAGGGGCAAAACCAAAAACTCTCTTACACCTTTTACATTACGTGCCTTTTACACCCTGACAGAGAGGTGATACAAATTACCAGATAGAATTCCAAGAGTTTCCCGACATCTCTCACAGTGAAATAGTTGAAGCCATGTGCTTTTCTTAATCAAACATGAAACATTTTTAAAAATTCCAAGTAGAAAGGATGCATGCTTTTTATTGTTTTAATTTCTGATTTTAAAGATTCTCCTTCTATAATGCGTGTCTATAATTCAGTCTGCCTGCAAGGAAGCACTGTAGTATGCCTGGTGCCCGATACCCTAGATGCAAGCATTCCGCTGCTGTATTTTGAGCCATAAAGGCTCTCGTATACTGAAAGGGAAACAAAGTGAACTGAATTTATCGTCCCTGCATGTTATGTACAAGGAGTAGTTACAGTTTTATTTCCTAGAATGAGGTTAATTAATCCTATATTTCTTCATACAGTTTAATTAGCTATCTGACTGTTCTTATTACTGTTATAGAATGCCAAACATATTGCTGCTGTCCAGGAAATACTTCAAGACAGTGAGAATAAAATAGCCAGTTTGCGCAGTCTAATCCAGTCTCTTATAAAAGGTAGACGTTCTGTCCTTGTATGTAGTTTGAAAGAATATTAATGGGTAACAATGAACACATATTTTATATTTTTGTGAGTTATAGATTTTAGAGTTTGGCATTTTTACTGTGCCATGAGATATTCTGGGTGCCAATTGTTTTTATATATAGTGATCCATAAGTCACCTGTGGTACAGAGTCCCGGGATGTGACTACTCTGTAAAGAAACAATCCAAGCACCATAACCACTACAGATCATTATTGTTATGGTACCAGGAGTTCCCCCATTGTAAGGAGTCAAATTGTTTTTGAATGGCTCCCCAGGGCTTGCTCCGGGCTTAGATCAGGAGAGCTAAGAGAAGTTCCTGCTTAAGAACATCCGGCTCTCCGTCGCTGGTAGTGGGAAGAAAGCAAACCGCTCAAAAAAGCATTGACTTCTGATAATGGGGCTGCAGGGCAGGACTTATACCACTACCATTACAGCTCGATTTTTACTTACAAGGAGGTATCCCATCAACGGCTACATTGAAGAAACGTACAACTGTATTTTCCAATTACATCGCCTTTGCATTTCCTCTTAGAAGTGGGAGGTAAAGGGAGTAATGAGAAGGTGCAAACAAATGTTATATTATTTCATAAAATTAAATGTCAGACAGTCTATGCTTGGATATAGTGTTTTTTTTATTTTATTCTCTGTTGCATTGAGTTTAAAATTATTGGAGTATTATTTATCACTGTGTATAATGCACAATACTTACATTATATTATATTGCAACCTTTACAGAACAACCATCGTTACCAGCTCCGGAGACCGACGTTAATACTGTTGCTCCTTCGCTGTTGGTGACGGACACACAGGAGCCAGAGCCGGCTGGGTATTCACTTTACATCTTTCTCATCAATGTTGTTCGGACCTGAAACCATCCCAGTTTACACCACCATACCTGCTGATTATCAATACGTCTATTGTATGTTTGTCTATGGCTGTCTATACATTTCTTAGCATGCGTATCAATCACAGATACATTTTATAAGGCTGCCTACAGCTTGCATGCTTGTGTCGCCAGCTCTCCTTATCTTTGCAGGATTCCTGTGAATTCTGCATTCTGCCAGGCAGGGTGTGAGAGTGCTTTGGATGTCACACAGGAAGCACAGAATGTAGAATTCTATACGGTGCAAAGACATAGAAATCGGCAACTCTAGTGAGAAGTAATCTTAGGGCGTCCTTTAAATAATGTCCTGTATATAGCAGCAATATTGTCTAAGATATAATGAGTATAGTGATATGACAACAAGATAAACTATTCTTTTCTTCCTTCTGATAGTGATTTTCCAATCTTTCCTATGAAACCAATTGTCTTACCGGATGTGGAACTTGACTTAGAGACACCTCAGACATTTTCATATCGCATTAAGAGTGAGATTTCGATATATATTGAGTTCCCGGATTTCCTGGCTCAGGTAAAGCTCTAAGATGTGCTGGTTGTTCTTTACCCCTGAACTTCGTCATTAAATGTGCACTCTGTGTACTATAACCATTACAGCTCGGTGAAGTAGTAATGTGGATATTGGCCCACTTTTTTTTTCTTAAACCATTTAGGAGCATTTTGACAAATAACGGATTGCCCCCCTTGGCCACAATAATGTAAATTATTATTTTTTGGACCTATAAATGTTTATTCCATTCCAACTGGACAGCTGTGATGGGTGGTGTTCTTTCCCCCCGTCCCTCCAAAAATAAAAAATGACAGGGGAGAGGGGGAAAGAATACTATGGGACAGGGGAGGGGAGAACAATATGGGACAGGGGGAACAATATGGGACAGGGGAGGAGGGGAAAGAAAACTATGGGATGAGGGAGGGGGAAGAAAACTATGGGATGGGGGAGGGGGAAGAACACTATAGGGGAGGGGGGAGAACAATATGGGACAGGGGAGGGGGAGAGAACACTATGGGACAGCAGAGGAGGGGGAATAAAACTATGGGACGGGGTGGAGGGGGAAGAACACTATGGGAAAGGGGAGGGGAGAAAAGAACACTAAAAAGAGGGAGGGGAGAGGAACAATAGATGGGGGAGAGAGGAACATTAAGCGAGAAGGGATGTTTTTCATATTAGATTAATTCAATTCATTAAAAAGTCTAATATTAAAAAAAATTATAGGAGAACAACTTTTTTTTAAATCACTTAAGTCATTTTCGGTTTCGGTTTTCAGCCAATGGCATCCTGAATTTTCATTTCGGTGCATCCCTAGTTCAGTTAATAAATCAGACTGTCTAATGGTTTATAAAAGGCTATCAGTCGCTTTAATATTATATTAACTAAAAAAAGTGTCTCTGGAGCAAAATACTAATAAATGTGACATAAATCACCTAAAGTGTCAGTGCAGTAAGGCAGGTATTCGATTATCTTAAGGTTCAGTATATTTCGATATAAAACATATATATAGAGAAATATATGGAAATACAGTGTAGTTTTTACATGACAATAGAATGTACATATATTGGACAGACACAAAAGAAAAGCCCAACACAAAGTGTGCTAGTGCTTTGACCCAAAGGCCATTTACCTCTAATCAGTCATTATGTCTTCTCCTTGGCTGGTCCACATGTCCCCTATGCCGATGTTGATGGTTGAACTCTGCTAAATCTAGTTCTTGTAGTTCTTGTTTTAACTCCCTCCTTAGGCATTTCCTAAATCTTTAAAGGTAAACAGAGAATCTCAGGGGAAATGTTTTTAGTGTGTTATTCAATGTTATACATTGCAGAGAAGTAACACTTCTCCAAGAACAAATGCTTTTATTATGTATGGTTTACCTTTCTAGGATTACGGAGAAGGCCACGAATATACCAGCGATAGCAAACACATTATTACAAACCCAACACCTGATGTAATAAGTGAGCCTGATAGGACAGATTCCCCTCTGGATAACAGTGTTCGTGAACCTTCTGAAACATCTGAGGACGTACGGTACGATTACTTACCTGTGTTACAGGAGCGTTTTATTCTATGTCTTTGTTTTTATTAATTGTGGGAGTTTCTGGGACATTTAAAATAATTTCTCAACGTTTTCCTTTCTTGGCAGTATTCAGCCCCAACTTCCTCTCACCATGGAGGACTTCCAGCTCCGCTGTGTGCTGGGTAGAGGGAGCTTCGGGAAGGTAAGTTTAAGGTGGAATTCCAATTCTAGTTGCATATAACGGATGTCTTAACAGATGCCGCACAACACTTTATTTATTTTAATTTCAGGTTCTACTGGCTAAGTACAAGGACACAGACCATATGTACGCCTTGAAAGTCATAAAAAAAGGTGACATAGAATCATCACCTATGCTCGATAGGTCAGTAAATGAAGAACAATTAATTGTTTTGGGGAGAACGAGATTCTGTTTTCTGTCTTTTGAATGCCGTTTGGTTTTGGAGAAACGGGGAAAATAACTTTTAATATATTTTTTTCTTTTCCAGCCTTCTGATTGAGAAACGCGTATTTCAAGCTGTGACTAACAGGCGCCACCCATTTCTGATTAACCTGTTTGGGAGCTTCCACAATCAAGATCACGCCATTTTTGCAATGGAATATGCTGCTGGGAGCGACCTAAGGGCACACATCAGCAATAGGCGTCCCTTTCCAGAACCCAGAGCCATGTGAGTATAAGCTGCAGGTCTAATTCAATGATCTGCAGACGGGCTACAAATTCCATAAATTCTAGTTATTTACCCCTGATTATACCTGGAATATCACACAACATGGGATCCATCGTTGGGTCTTTTAATCCTGATTATTTTGTTTATAAGAGTAAAAAGAAGATGCAAAAACAATGCCCATTACATTATAATAGTAACAACATCATTAAAACAGAATTTGACGACTTTGCTTCTGAGACGGACGCACAGTCTTTGAGCTTCTGACCCGGACGCTAGATTAACCAACATAACCCGAGCATTGACTGATTTGCAGTCCCAGTTTGGGCACCAACATACCCCTGCACACCATGGGTAGAAAAAAAGAAGAAGCAAAAACCCCGACCAATCGCGGCCGGGCATGCATATAGGAGCCCTGCTTCAACAAACACTTGGTGCGCCTGGACCCAAAACTACTGCCCCGGAAGCTGCGTCCAGAGACATGGTGGTGCGCTTTCGTAGTCAGAGTGACTTATACATTACATAGTTACATAGTTACATAGTTACATAGTTACATAGCTGAAAAGAGACTTGTGTCCATCAAGTTCAGCCTTCCTCACATTTGTTTTTTGCTGTTGATCCAAAAGAAGGCAAAAAAACCCAGTTTGAAGCACAATTTTGCAACAAGCTAGGAAAAAAATTCCTTCTTGACCCCAGAATGGCAGTCAGATTTATCCTTGGATCAAGCAGTTATTACCCTACATTGAAAGATTATATCCTTGAATATTCTGTTCTTGCAAGTATGCATCTAGTAGCCGTTTGAACATCTGTATGGACTCTGATAAAACCACTTCCTCAGGCAGAGAATTCCACATCCTGATTGTTCTTACAGTAAAAAAACCTTTCCTTTGCCTTAGACGAAATCTTCTTTCTTCCAGTCTAAACGCATGGCCTCGTGTCCTATGTAAAGTCCGGTTTGTGAATAGATTTCCACACAATGGTTTGTATTGGCCCCGAATATATTTGTATAATGTTATCATATCCCCTCTCAGGCGACGTTTTTCTAAACTAAATAGGTTTAAATTTGTTAACCTTTCTTCATAGCCGATATGTTCCATTCCTTTTATTAATTTTGTAGCCCGCCTCTGCACTTTTTCTAGTGCCATAATATCCTTCTTTAGAACAGGTGCCCAAAATTGCACAGCATATTCAATATGTGGTCTTACCAGTGATTTAAAAAGAGGCAAAATTATATTCTCGTCCCGAGAATGAATGCCCTTTTTCATGCATGACAATACCTTACTGGCCTTGGCCACTGCTGATTGACATTGCACATTGTTGCATAGTTTGTTGTCTATAACAATTCCCAAGTCCTTTTCATGTGTTGTTATCCCTAATTCGCTTCCATTAAGGGTATACGTTGCTTGTGTATTCTTTACGCCGAAGTGCATAACTTTGCATTTTTCAACATTAAATTTCATCTGCCATTTGAGTGCCCAGTCTCCCAGTCTATCTAAATCCCTCTGCAGCAAAGTAATATCTTGCTCACATTGTATTGTTTTACAAAGTTTTGTGTCATCTGCAAACACTGAAACATGACTTTCAATGCGGTCTTCAAGATCATTTATAAACATGTTAAATAGAAGGGGTCCCAGAACAGACCCCTGAGGGACACCACTTGCCACCTCTGTCCAGCTTGAAAATTTACCATTAATGACAACTCTTTGTACTCTGTTTTTAAGCCAATGTTCTACCCAAGAACAAGCATTTGACATTCAAGACCATGTCACTCTCCTTTTATGCCAACCTATCGGGTAGCACACTAGAGTGGCGAAGATCCCTTCAACCATTTACCAAAATACTCAGGGACCCCGGAATCACCTACAAATGGCATTCCTCCCGCACTCTATTGATCTCACAAAGGGACTGCTCCTATGCGATCCACGATCTATAAGAAGCAACAGCCCTCATGGGACCCCTTGGCCTCCCACTGGACTCTCTGCAACAGTCCAGACCGCAACAAACCGCTACTACCACAGCCAGATGGAATCCGGTGAATGTTGTCCCCTTCGTCCCTAGGAGGGCCAACACGGAGGCCTACGTGTCAACTACAACCTAAGCCCACACAGGCAGAACAGACCATGCATACCCACCGCAGTTGGGATGTTTATAATAATGTTTATTTGTTCCCTCTACTTTTTTTTTATATGTTTCACAACTTAACTGCTCGATGTGTGCCTTCTGGGGCATGTGTCTTGTGTTAGGACGCCAGGGATGCCCTTGCTCCCAACTTTGGTTACACGTTATTCTTTTTACTCACTATTCTACCAGCCTGCGCACGCAGTGCCCACGTTTCCCACCATCGGGATTAAGCTGAATGCAGGCTTGCCACCCAGGGCTGCGTAAGCGCGTGCGCTATGCCGTAGCTGTAACTTCCCCACTCGGCCATTACATGCCTAAATAGCTGTACATGCTTATAATAGAGATGTTATGTTATTTTTTAAGCCTCACTATGGTTGGTACACTCAGCCTGGTAGGGTACTGCAGCGCTTCAAACAACCGAGATCAGTGATTCCAAAGTTATTTTAGATATTCATTACACTATGTTATTTAATATAATATGTCAGAACACAGAGTGACTTGGAATATATGGAATTAACCAGTTAATAATAAAACACTGCGTCATCTAGAAAGTAACAGATTTATTTATTATTCCCAGATTTTATTCGGCCTGTGTCGTCCTGGGACTGGAGTTCTTACACGAACAAAAGATCATTCACCGGTAAGATTATAGAAAGAGACTACACATGGAGTGTCCATGATATTTGTGTTATTGTATTTAACCCTGTTTGTTTATAGTAAGTTATTCATGTTAACCATTTAAATAGCCTAAAGAGTGAATCCTAATCCTAAGTGCCTCTAGTGTTATGTAAAATGAATAAAACTTAATTTTCTGTATTTTAATCTAGAGACCTGAAAATAGAAAATATTGTTCTAGACGAAAAAGGGTTCGCAAAGATCACAGACTTTGGTCTTTGCAAAGAAGGTAAAGATGATTAATAATATTAATTAAAACATATTTTTTTGATAAAAGCTCACATTTATTAAATTCAAAATGTCCCGGCAATATCAGAGCTAGCTTTCATAAACAACATGTTAATATGTAAAATGATGTGTATACAATCTCTGATTCATTCCAAAGGAACTCTGCAACGGTAAAAGTATTTATTTTTGAATTTAAAGTGTCCATGAGGTCTTTTAGGTTATGGGGCCGCCCCTTTTATTTATTTATTTATTTATTGTCAATCTTTCTTTTATTAAGGCACATATGAAGGGTACAGAATAGAAACAGGGGAAATGCATGGGTAGTCCACAGAATAGGGTTAATACAGCAAAAACATTGTTGATTAAATTTCCTGAATATTAATGCCTCATTTTTTAAATTTTTGTAAGTCGCTATATGACGAGTGTGACTTTTCCAATGTAATTTATGATTTAAGTACATACAGGCTGAACAATACAAGCTAAGAGTGGCATGTAAAAACTAAGTAAAATCAAATTAAACAAGCCCAACAGTATTATGCCTAGTACTGGTAATGATTGCAGGGCAAATATGCAATAAATCCTTTGCAGTATGTACAGTCTGACTAGTAGCTCACTGTCTCGTGTTATTACGGTGTACATAATCTGTGTTATCATATATGAGACTTGTTATGCTATGATAGTAGGCCGCTTATATAGCGTGTTCCAATATGCTATTAACTTTCTAGTGAGTTTTTACTATATGAGTGTGTCTAGTGTAACATAACTAGGTAAATGAGCAGGTGTGGATGCATCACAGAGTGTCCAACAATTTAAGTCCTGAAAAGTAGTCAGACCGTGAGCCGGGGGCCGGGGTGGCCGCAGATCTCAGCCGATGCCTCTGGTGTGTTTCTCTGGGTAAGCCCAGTTGTAGCTTCGCATGGCGTGGGACGTTGTGTGACCAGTGGCTCTCCATGTGCTTGCTCTGAGAGGGTCTGTATCTGTGCTGTTGCTGTGCGACACAGGGCTCCCACCTCCATGGTGCGCTGGGATTGCCATGCTGCTACTGCGAGTCCAACGACCGCCGTGAGGTGGGTGCTTGCCAAGCTTGGTGCGGAGCTTTGTCGGTCTGGGGGCGGGAATCCTCCCTTGCCACTGGGTTGTAGGAGAGCCGGTGCATGTAGGCCACGAGCCTGGGAGCCTGTGTGGTCCAAGGTTGCCCTTTGCGGGGTGGTGCAGGGAGATTCAGGTAGTTGCTTACGTGGTCGCTGAGCTGCTCTCTGCCAGTGTGGCTGGCACCTTCGGGTTATACCCTGTGTTGCTGTCATCCCGGGAGGGCCTTGGATGTAGGACACTGGGGTGTGGGTTGCGAAGTTGCCCTGGTAGGTGTCCCCGGTCCCCCGTCCGCCTTTGGCTCCGACCCTCGCGGACGTTTTTTGGCGCAGGGTTTCAGGCTGCATGCGGGCCTCTAATTTTGCCCAGAAGATATCAAAGATTGTAACTATAGAGTCTCTTGTGCAGTCTTTTGTTACTGCTGTGTTAGTTTGGTGCCATCGCTTAACTGACACTTTGGTGTCAGGGTATTCCACCATCTTGTGGGCTTCCGCCTCCATTTTGTATAGGGGGTTCACTGTGTCCATCGTTTCATGTGGGGGTTGGAGCACCCTGTCCGGTGGGGACCGAGATATCTCCCATCGGTCCAAAGGGGGGGGTGAGTGTGTTCCGTACACTTGGTGCGGTTGGCAACCGGCGGGAAGGCGGCCGTCCATCCCCCGTGTCTCCGCTAGGCCTCATATTGCTGCTTCCCGGTCGACGTTCCCGGTCGAGTTCAGTGTCGATGGTACCGGCAGGTCAGATAGTGCTTCCTCTGTGTGTTGAGCCCAATATCAGGTAGTTTCCAGCAAGTAGCTATGAGATATTCGTAGTTTTGGGCCCACACTGCAGGAGCTCAGGAAATGTGCGACTGGTTTGCTAGCTAGTTCATCTCTGCCCCCGGGTCGCCCCTTTTAAACTAAAATGTTTTTACTCACCTTCTATCCAGGGCTGGGCAGGCAATGTTGAAAACACACACACACATTACACACAGCCAGCACACAGCACATTCAGATCACACACAGCCACCACACACACTGTGGGGGAACAGAAGAAGGTATTATGGGGAGGGCAGAGAATGAGACACAATGCTTAGATTTCCAGGTAGGAGGCCTCAATTTATCTAATTGAAATTATTAAAGCAGATTGGGCTACTGCTTTAGTCCTTTGTTTTCGCACCCCTGTGGTTACCAACAAACTTTTGCTGGGCAAAAGTTTTATGGGGTGATTTCATGCTCCACTGAATTGCAAGCGCTACGGAATCTGTTGGCGCTATATAAATGGCAATAATAATAATAATAATAATATGAAAGCCCCCTCTTATTCCAGTTATGTTTCCTGCAAAACTAAAACTCTCAGCAATATCTATTCACTATTATTCTTATAGGAATGTTAGATCTGATACAGAAACATGTCACCAGTTATCAACTGTGATTTAACCCGTTAGCATGATCAATTACAGATTACAGATCAGTCTAACTGAAAGTCATTCCCAAATGTAATTTGCAAAAACTGAATATCTATCTTCAAATTTTTCTACAATTCTATTTTCCTGATTTCTCAGGAATCGGATACGGAGACACAACTGGGTCCCCTCGTGGAACCCCACATTACGTAGCTCCTGAAGTGTGCAAGGGCGAGCCGTATACAAGAGCTGTAGACTGGTGGAGCTTCGGAGTGGTCATTTATGTAATGCTGTCTGGGAAGGTAAGAACAGACTTTCAATAAGAATCTATAAACAGATTTATTTACTGCTAATCCAAAGAGACTCTACCAATTTAAAAAAGCACTGCGCACACCTAAAGCACGATAGCTTGCTGAAATGCTTTATTCGTGCAGAGTGTGTCCATTTTCATTTTACAAGCGTACAGATTTCAATGTAAGTTACACACACCTGGCTGTCAATCAGACAACCGGTCCTGCTCCCTGGCTGTGTGCGTACATAGTGTGTAACCCTCTGTATACATCTCCCTGGCTGTGTGCATACATAGTGTGTAACCCCCTGTATACAGCTCCCTGGCTGTGTGCGTACATAGTGTGTAACCCTCTGTATTCAGCTCCCTGGCTGAGTGCATACATAGTGTGTAACCCTCTGTATACTGCTCCCTGGCTGTGTGCGTACATAGTGTGTAACCCTCTGTATTCAGCTCCCTGGCTGAGTGCATACATAGTGTGTAACCCTCTGTATTCAGCTCCCTGGCTGTGTCCATACATAGTGTGTAACCCTCTGTATACAGCTCCCTGGCTGTGAGCGTACATAGTGTGTAACCCACTGTATGCTGCTCCCAGGGTAATACCTGTACAGTCAGAGGATGCCCAGTCCTTTTGGCCCTAATACATAAAACAACCCCCATACTTACTTGTCGAAGTCTTCCCCTGATGATGTATATGATAAAAGGGTTCAGTTCTCTTGTACATGTCATACTTTCATACACCCGCACCACACACCTTTGATGCATGCTGATTTACACATTGTGCCATCCTTACTACTAACATTCGAAAAACCATAAACTATTCAATTATTGCTCAGCAGCAGATTCCTATATTTTACAATTTTATAAACTAAAATTGAGTTTTTTTAATGTATTTTTTTCTCTAGTTCCCCTTTGAAAGCCATGATATGAACAATTTAACTGCTAGTATCATCAAAGGAAAATTCATATATCCAGAATCTCTATCAAGAAACGCTACTTCAATAATAAAACAGGTTAGTCGCCACACATGTTTCGTGTTTAATAAATGTAATAGATTATATGAGCCACGATCAAACCGTTCACCATTGACCATTGATGAGGGAACTTTATCCTGGCGAGCTGCCTTAGGATGAATGAATTCTAAGTTCTTGGAGGTTTCAGGATTAGACCCTCTGCATGGAGCCTTACGTCTAATCAGTACAGTAATGATTTATGACATCCCAGCATCTTGTATCATTTCCTTATATGAACGGTCTGACAGATAGTGATATAAAGTGTGTAGAAAAGAATGCAGGTTCAGATAATCTTTGGGAGAGGGAATGTATCAGTTTTTTTATTTTGTCTTTTCACAATAGTAATCTTATTTGTCATGCACATATCTCAGTACTATATATACATCTTTAATTGCATGTACCTAGCTGTGTGTATTAATGCAGCTAACGAAACATTCATTATTACTGAGAATTAAACCAAAACACTGAGTATATTCTTATTCATTGTATGACACCCATAATGATTCATTATTCATTACCCATAAGACATTAATATTCTATATTTACATGACATATAGCGTCCTGTATAAAAATATAGTTATAGGTAGTTGGCGCAGGGTAAATCCAGAGCCCAGTCTTGGATGGGGCACAATGCCAGTTTGTTTTTATTGTGAAGAGGCAGATAGATTGCAATATGACATCAAGGAACACCTTGTGTTGTGCTCACATAAAGCACCACCCACGTACGTACATTGCTACCACCACACTTTACTTTTCTTCTTTGCTGTCCCTTCAAGCATAACTCACAAGTGCCAGAAGCTTAAGGAAGCAAGGTGAATGGTTAGTGTAGGACCAACCTAAGAGGTTTGCCTTGACATGGCAGGTGGGCTTCCCTCTCATGGATATTGGAGTAACCAAATTACCTCCATTTGTTTAAATATAGATAGGGATTTGGGAAGGGCGCAGGTGAGTTTTTTCTTTGGTTTTTACTGTATATATTGGGTCTGATGTGTACTATGCTCATTGCTGCCGCCCAAGAGTAGTGGAGTTTGAGTGCAGGACCTGTTTTTTTTGTAATTGTATAAAACTCACAAAGTGCAGGGCAGATGGCTTGGAAAAAGCCGGCATACTGGGCTAGCCAACAGCCTCCTCCCCGTGTTGAGCTCAGAGCACCTCTGTTCACTCTCTACAGTCTCTAATTTACTTGTCCCATGCACTTATTCATTGCCATGTCACTCAATCATGCCACTTGCCCTACCCACTGTCTGCTTGCACATGTCACTTGCCCTGTCCACTCTATCTGTGCCCATGTCAGATATCATAGTAATCTTTCCCACCATGGCACATGATCCATTCACTTTCATGCCCATTTCACGCTCACCATATCAACAACCTAGTCTGCTCCCTAATTTCCTTCCTCTATAACACTAATCCATAAATTACTCCCTCATGTCGTTATAACTGTGCCACTTCTCCATGCCAGTTCCCATTTTACATCACCTAGCTGGCCTCAAAAATAAAAAGACAATATCATTAAAGAAATGGCAGTGTAATTAATCAAACCAACTTACTTACATCATGAGTCTCTCCAGCAAGCTCTCCTAGAGGTCCATCATGTTAGTTCTATGCCCAAGGAGTATTAAAAGAGGTTGCATAGGGTACTGTCGATTATGTCACATACTCCGTCCACTCTCTATAAGGACTAACATGTGAGTAGGAGAAAATGCTTTCTTTCTCGCACGCAGAGACCCTGAGATTTGAGGGTAGACAATGAATCTGGTACTTGGCTTGCTGCTTAGGGGGAAAACACCTGCCCCCCTCTGCTATCCATACCTGGATTGCAGACATACATTGCTTGAGCTGCCTATATTTGGAGCCCTACATTGATTATAAAAACAGGCACCTAGCAAGCAGTAACCATGAATCATGCCAGCAGTCAGGACAATCTCTGGGCAGCATGGACATGTTGTGTACTTATTAATCTCTGTATTAATGTACACAGCGTGAGTGATAAAGGCATCCGTTACTCTACCTGCTGGGAAAATGCGTGTAATTCTGATGTTTATTATTAAAATGAACAAGATGTAGATTTTTTAAAAATCCCTTTTACAGCTTCTCACTAAAAAAGTAAAGGCACGACTAGGAGCCAGCAAGAAAGACGCCCAGGACGTTAAGGAGCACCCTTTTTTCGAAGTACGTACATTTTGAATATAACATGATATTTATTTATTTACTTTTACACAAAGTGGCTCAGTCACAAAAATATATATTTCTGAGCATCTCATTAAGATAAAATCTTTATGAAATACTCATGCTGAGTGCACTGAAATTCTAACACAGTGAAAGATAATTTAGGATAAAGTAGAGACTGCTTTGTCTTAGGGTCAAGTCCGAGGTGGACAAAAGGTCGAACTTCTGCTGTCAAGTTTTGTCAGTTCCCACATCCCAAGTGACAGAGTCCCTTTACATTAAAATTATAAGGAAAGACTCATTCTCGTAGCATTCTAAGTTAGTTGTGTGTTTAAAAAACATACAGTGTCCTATGAGTTTCTGCATTTACATCCATTCAAGGAATCATAGTAAAATCATACCCAGCTCTGAAATCATACCTGGGGTCCGCTAGGCAATGTTAGCTTAGTATTCTCAGCCAATGAGTACCTCCATGCACCACCAGGCTAGGAGAGTGCAGCGAGCTTCCGGGCTGCAGAGGAGAAGGCAGACCCCAGGTAAGTTCTTAAACCATTCACAAGCAGTTTGACTACTCACACTAGTAGGGGGCTATGGAACTCATGGCACCATAACCACTACATATGGATGTAGTAGTTATGGTGCTTAGATTGTTCTTTTAAGGCAATTTGAGGATTCGTTTTCAGACTCTCACTGGGATCTGTACCGAATAGTTTTTTGGGCATATTATCTGTAATTCTGTGTTTTATATAGTTATTTTACTGATTTATACAATAATGTACATTTCTTTACAGCAAATAGACTGGGCTGCATTATTATTAAAGAATGTGATGCCACCATTTGTGCCCGCCATCCGTTTTGCTGAAGACGTCAGGTATTTTAGTTGCATGTTCACGATAGAAGACCCTATTTTAACTCCTACAGAAAGGCGAACTGAAATACCGTGCTACGAGGCCGAGGCATATGAGGATTTTAATTGGAGGGCTGATTGGAATTAATATCAGACACGTTCTTTAATGAAGAAAGGAAACGGCTAACGGTGGTGGAACGAAGTAGCCTTAAACTCAAACCCCCTCTTAAACTAAGATCTATGTTCTATACCATTGTATCCAAAGAACGAAGAGTCACCACCCACCTCTTTACTAAGGCCTACGACTAGGAATGTAATCATACCATAGAAGATAAACAGTGGCATAAATTACCTTATTTTTCACTCCATAAGACGCACCACACCTAGTTTTTAGAGGAGGAAACACAGAAAAAAAATATTCTGAACAAACTGTCCTATAGTGTTTAACACCCCCTCCCGTGCCCCATCGTGTTCCTTAACCCCCCTCCCCTGCCCCATCGTGTTCCTTAACCCCACTCCCCTGTCCTATAGTGATCTTTAACCCCCCTCCCCTGTCCCATAATGATCTTTAACCCCCCTCCCCTGTCACATAATGATCTTTAACCCCCCCTCCCCTGTCCCATAGTGTTCTCCCCTCCTCCACTTGTCCCATAATGTTCTTCCCCCATCCCATAGTGTTCTCACCCCTCCCCTCATCCCATAGTATCCCCCCCTTCCCTCATACCACAGCGTTCCCCCTTCCCTCATCCCATAGTGTTCCCACCTTCCCTCATCCCGTAGTGTTCCCCCCTTCCCTCATACCATAGTGTTCCCCCTTCCCTCATCCCATAGTGTTCCCACCTTCCCTCATCCCATAGTGTTCCCCCCTTCCCCTTATCCCATAGTGTCCCCCCCATATCCTGAGTGTCCCCCCCCTCCTTTGTCCAAAGTGTTTCTTCCCCCCTCCTTGTCAGCCGGTTTTCTTTCCTTTGCCCACTTGTCCCGTGATCTCCTCATGTCCCATGAGTGATCTCCCCCCCTTTCCTCCCTTAGTGTCCCTCTCTTACCCCCTTGGCCCTGGTAGGTTTACTTACCTTATTGTAGCGTGGGCCAGCAGAACAGCACGCACCACGGTACAGGAACTTAAATTTCAATACATTTTTAATACCCCGCCGGACTGAAAGGAAGTGCGCACACCGAGTGCGCACTTCCTTTCATTCCAGGCCGGAAACCGGAAACTGAAATGTAAGTTCCTGTACCGCGGTGCACACTGTTCTGCCGGCCCACGCTACAATAAGGTAAGTAAACTTACACATTCGCTCTATAAGACGCACAGAAATTTCCACTTACTTTTTTTTTCATATATAATTTTTATTTATTTTTCCTTACTTTAAATTCACTTACAACACATACACAGAAAAAAAAACATCAGAAAGACATCATTGCATACACATATATACATATAAGAACAACAAAATGTGTGATCACAGTCGCATAATACATACGCAGTTATTAGTTATACATTTGGTCATTGGGCATTAACACACACCTAACCAATCTTCACATCATGAACATAATAAACATAATAAAAATGATTATCAAAGAAAAGAAAAGCTATGTCTTACAAGTAATTGTGGTTCTTTTAGACTTTAATATTAATATTTAAAGAAATAATTAGACAAGGGAGAAGGAAAAGGGGAGGGGAAATTGAAGGCAGTAGCCTCTTAATAGCCTTTTATAATCAAGTAAATAAATATTGGCTGCAAATTTCTTATTCTAAGACAAAGTAAAAAAACACCTTACCTAAGCCGCCCAAACTATTACTGGTCAATGAGTTCTAATCTACGTTCAAGTTTTTGTATGTTCACTTAAATTTAGGATTAAGAATCCTGGAACTGTTTTTTTTTTTTTTTTTTCCTCTGTCCTATTCTTTATCTCTCAAATGTACCTTCTCTTATCGTTAGCCATCTATACCATTGTTTTGTATTTTTTTCTTTAGACCTATATAGATGATTCGCCATACGTTCATAGTTACTCGAGATGTCAAGACGGGTAAAGATTTCTGATAGAGTTGGAGCTATTGTTTGTTTCCATTTATGTGCAATTGCTATTTTTGCTACTATCAAACAGTGAATAATTATTATTAGCACATCTCCAGAAATCAATATTGGAAATATATGCAAGAGGTAACATTCCGAAGATTTTGGTATATTCACTTTCAAGGATACCTTAAAGAATTTTTCCAAGGCATTCCAGAATGGGATAATTTTTGGGCATTCACAAAAATTATGTAGAAGAGTACCTTCTGATCCCTGGCATCTCCAGCAAACTGCCGGGGTGCCTGGATATATATGGACTAATCTCTCAGGTACCATATACCATCTCATAATTAATTTACAATACGCCTCACTGTGGGTGAGACATCTAGAGGCCTTTTTAATAGTTCTTAATGCCTTATACCAAGCTGTAAGCGAAAGTTGTTTACTTAAGTCTCTATCCCAATGTTGCATAAAATATGTTTTATCATTATCATCCATTGCCCTAAGGGTATTATAGGTCAATGATAAAGCTTTTACATTAGGAAACTTCCTCTTGCATTTATGAACAAAAAGTGGTATATGCGCTTTATTTTGCGTTGTAAGTGTTATTGTACTCAATATATTCTTAATGCGAAGATACATAAATAGTTCCCTAGAGGGTATAGAGTATGTCCTTTGAAGTTCAGGGATGATTTAATACCTGTCTGATTCTACAAGGAGCCAACTGATATAATCCCATGCTTTACCCATACATCTAAACGCATATCTGTATGCTTCTTGTAAAAAAAGCAATAATTTGTATAGGGGCCTCATGTAGCATAACCTTGTCTATTTTCAATTTTGAGATCAATTGTCCCCATGTTTACAGTAGTAGTTTGGTAGGTGGCAATATCTTACCATATTGTTTTGGGTTGGTTAAACCAGTCCAGAGGGCCTGTTCTACTGTGCCATGCGTCATACGTGCATTTTCTAGTGCTAGCCAAATTGGTGGTGGCGATCTTTCTAATATTGAGATCCCTTGAGCAAGTATCGAAGCTTTATAATAAAAATGTATATTCGGTATGTTTAAGTCACCTTTCTCATATGGCCTCCATAATAAGTTGTGCACTACACATGGGGGTTTCCTCTTCCAGATTAGTACATTAATTATCATTTGGAATTTTTTCAGAAGTGTATTAGACAGAGCAATAGGGAGCATACGAAAAAGACATAAAATGTGTGGTAGTATCATTTTTATGGTATTTATACGTCCCAACCACGATGTTCCTTTGCCCTCCCATGATTTAAGTTGCATATCTAATTTATGTATAAGTGAAATATAGTTTTCTCTCACTAATAAATTTCGTGTTTTAGTGAGTTTTATGTCCATATAAGAAATTGATGTTGTACGCCAATCAAATGAATAAGCAGATTTTAAGCTTGCTAAGATATGTAACGGCAATGCCTGAGATTTTTTTGAGTTATTTTTATAATACGAAACCTGTCCATATTTGTTTATTAAAGCCAATAGGTATGGTTGTGAAAGGTAAGGATGTGTTATAAACATAAGAACATCATCTGCAAATAATGCCACTTTCATGTCCCCTATTGGTGTATGGAGACCATGTATTGTATGCTGCTTTTTAATTTATCGTACTAGAGGCTCTAGGCATAAAATAAAAATCAAAGGGGAGAGAGGGCAGCCCTGCCAAGTCCCACTGGTAATATAAAATGGATTTGACAAAAAGCCTGAATTGAACACTTTTGCTGAAGGGTTTGAATACAAAGCTACAATACTGTTCAAAAAGCACGGGGGAAAATCCATATATGACCAATTCAGGCGATCAAATGCCTTCTCGGCATCCAAGGGCAGTAACAGTCCATGATGTTCACTCTTTTGAGCCCACTTTATTACATTCAAAAAATGTTGGGCTACTTGTGTTGAGGGGAAAAACCCGCTTGTTCCGAAGAGACCACGTTAATCAACATTGGTTTTAAACGCATAGCGATTAATTTAGCATATAATTTTATGTCCGCATTTAACAGTGAAATTGGTCTCAAATTAGGGCATTCCGTAGGTGGTTTACCGGGTTTGGACAGTGTAATTATATGGGCTAGTAGAATTTCCGTTGGTATAATCCCTGAATTCTTAAAGTAATTAAATAGCTTAGTTAGATGTGGTATAAGATAATGAGCAAATGTCATCAGGCCCAGGTGCTTTATATTTCGGAGGCGATCTAATTATCGTTCGTACCTCTTCCTCTGAAAATGGTTCTATTAGAGTTTGGCCTTGCTCGTTTGTCAATGTAGGTAAATCACGATCTGCTACAAAGGACTGACTCTCATTCAAAGTAGGCTGATATGTATCTTTGAAATACAATATGTGTGGGATTCAGCTGATGAATCTAAAATCAAATGAAATAAAACATAGCATAATACAGTTTTAGAAATTTAATATTTCCTGTTATAAATTGCACTCACAGGATGTTGAAAGTATATGCGCTCTATTGGTGCCTCCCCCAATGTTTTGGAGGGCTGGTATCTCCCTCTTAGGATAAAGTATCACCCCTGACAAAGCACAAGGACTGTGGCCCCCTCTGTCCCCCTCGGGGTTGCTGATTTACACGCGTTCCATGCCTGTCTTATGCGTTATAATTACACAGTGAACATGGAGCATTAATAGGGCATGCATGGCTGCATACGACCAAACTAAAAAACTTTGCTGATAAGACTCGATTGAACTAGGAGTTCTGTGGGTAGGTTCCTTCGTGCTTTTGCCTGCCGCTCTCTGGCTTCTAGTTTCGCCCAAAATGCGTCGATGATTGTGGTCAGTCTTGTCATCGTGGCAGTCTCCCCTCCGCAGCCGTCATGGCCGCACGTGGCGTCCGCCATTATGTGGGCCTGTGGAGCTAGGGGTTGCTTGTGGGGCTCCGCCATCCGTGTCAGCCGTAGCTTCTGTGTCTGGCAGGGTTGGACCGGGATTACCCCCACTGGTCCTTAGGGGTTGGGAGCGGGCAATCTGTGGCTCAGCGCCCCCGGCGTAGAGGCGAGGAGAGCGGCTGCCTCCCCCCATCCACCGTAGGCCGCAGCGGGCCATCTCCATTACACGCTTGCGGGTATACCGGTGTTTGGTGTCAGTCGATTCGCCAGAGTGCCCTCAACCTGGGCAGCGTATTCTGGCATCAAGGTAAGCATCGGATCCGCGGAAATTTCCCTGAAACCAGCAATGGCTTTGGGAGCTCCTCTGCCATGCGACTACTCCATTTGCAGGTCAGGCCCCGCTCCCAAGATCTGGTTTTTAATACCCAAGCAAGCAATCTGCTAGCTTTATTACCTTAATTTAAGCTTTCCCCTAGTTACACATAGTACACCATAAACATACTCCTCTATACACACACTTCACCACAGCCCCTTCTAAACACCACATCTCCTGAAAAGGTTTTCCAGTTTCCGTGAATAGGTGTCTTGCCTGTAATAAGGAAGGCGCAGCGGTTGAACTACAGGCAGTGTTGGTGTTGCGGTTACACTGGGGACCATCGTGTGACCCGTGCATTTAGTGCCACTCCACGGCCATGTGCCTTCAGGGGCGCAATACAATTTTTGCACCAGGGCCGTCTCTATGTTATTGTGCAGCAGCTTCCCCGACACTCAAGCTCTGCCCCACTCTCTAGCCGGGGACTTTATTGCAGAAAGAGGCCTGAAAATGGCCTCCTGAAGTCTGTGGATAGTTAATACAATGTTAAACAAAAATCTGAACACCAGTCAAGCCATAAGACTTGCTTTTCCCACAGAAATCACAAATCCGCAGTGATGTTACTACAGCAAAGGATTCTGGGTGGGCATATGCAAATTAATTGTTTTTGCTTCCCAAGCACTACTAAGCCTCAATAAGCAAACCAGTAACCAACCTCATGTTAATGATTTGCATTAACAATGAAACAGCTGTCCATGAGTGGTTCACTGGCTTTGCCAAAATCATTTTCGCCCGTATACCCAAAAATCCTTGCACCGGCCCTGACTGTAGACATGAAGAAGGACGTCGATCCTAAGTTTTGCTCCTTGCATGGTTGGGGCCAGCCTCTAATTTTTGCCTTCTGAAATCCCTTGATCTGCAGGAAAGGTATCTTGCTCCTCCCGTCTCAATAGCCAGTATTGTATAGAGTACAGAGATTGATACTACACTATGTCAACAATTGATTGATAGGGGAGGCCATACATTAAATTGTTGTTTTTTAATCAATTCATTTGTTATCAATTCACCTAGCAATGCATATATGTAGAGATGACTTTTTTAGATTATTCTCTATTTAAGTATCTAATAAAGAACCTGCAATTATCGTTGGGGCAAATCATCAAAAACCTAACCACTCATTTGCACATCTCTTCTCTGGGCTGTGGTACCAACACATTAATTAGGAATATATTTATATTGACAATGAATGTGATCATCTTCTTAATGGTGCATTAAAGCCTCTGCTAAAATGCTGTTAAATATATTAATAGTATCCAATTATATTAATTAAACTTTTGTTAATTAAAACAAAATGCAAAGATTTTTTAAACAAAAATCTGTTAATGCCCCAAATTAGAAACAATTAGTTATGGTAGGGTGTGGAACTGCACTGTATCCCTTTAAGCAGAATGTAGCTGGGTGCAACTCGGACAGTCTCAGTACCAGAGACCAAATGCTGAATGACAAATAGAAGAAAGGTCTAGGCACTCCAAGGTACAAGCAAGGCAATTTTATTGAACCCACTCCATGACAACGTTTCGACCTACACATTCTTTGTCAAGCTGGGCTTGTGATGGAGTGGGTTCAATAAAATTGCCGTGCTTGTACCTTGGAGTGCCTGGACATTTCTTCCAAATTAGAAACAAGTCTTAAATACATGTATATACAGAGTATCTTTACCCTAGACTTTACACTAGTTTATAAAAGTTACACACAACAAAGCGATAGGTATAACACTCCCTCTTGTGTCTCGTAGTGGAAATGCAGTTCTAAGATATTTGAAATATCGGCATAAATACTGCCTCACAAACATGAGAATAACTAATCTTAGAAATGTATGTCTACTGTGGTGACAATATTTCAGTCTATTATTAATATAGCAACAATATATTCTGCAGCAATTTACAATATTAAAAGGGTAACTAAAACTATAGGTAAATGACAACCAACAGCGCTACGGAATTTGATGGCGCTATATAAATAATAAAATAATAATAAGAGAATAGAAGTGGTGAAGAAGGATGCTCTATGGCCAGCCTGACTGCTTGAACTGGTTATGGTGCTGATAGTGGGCCAATCATTGCCCATTATTTAGTATGATTTGGCATGATGTAAGGGGAAACATAATTTAGCCTTATCCATTCCATCTGAGGGGGATTGGCTGCAGGCAGCCAGCAACCCTAATCCACTATTAAACCATTCCCAAATTGTTTAATGTATTAAAGGAGGATGGTAACCAGAGACTCCAGGCACCATAACCACTTCAACGAGTTGAACTGGTTATGAATCTTAGAGCGTCCATTTAGATGTAACGCTGTGGTTTTTATTTATTTCTGTAATATTGCAAGGGCTTAGTCTATTAGTCCTTGTGTCTCCTACGTTTAAATCTATAAATATAATCCCGCAATTCCTCTCCCTTGCTCCTATTCTATGCTTTTCTAAAATTCGTCATTCCAAGATTTATTTACCTCCATTTTAGAAATGTGGGTCTCGATTTAATAAGCTTTGCAAATGGTTCAACACTGATAAAAAAAATAAAAACAACTTTCTAAATGATTTATCTACAAAAATCTCCATAGATGTTAATAGCGACTTCTGTAGATAAATCATGTATAATGTTTTTCTAATAGTATTTGAACAATTTGGAAAGCCTATTAAATCAAGGCCAATATCTGGTGACGGGTAGGTGTCTTACTAGCAGCATACAACACTGTCCACAATTTTAAAATCCAACATCGCACTGTGTAAAGAGATTTTTCTTGTGAAAATCAATAAAATATTAATGAAAAAAAATAAAAAAACATCAAAATTTGTATCCAGTTCCCGAGATGTGAATAGGCCATAGAGCCTACCCTATCTGGAACAGGCAAGGAGATAAGAAAATATTGTAAATATAGCCTTTGAGTTCTGCACCTGAAATAGATTGCAAGCTCTCCAGTTCAACTGAGCATTGGCTTATTCCAAAATGTTGACCTAATATACAAAAACATCCATGGAAAGTTGTATTTCTGTTGTTATTTAATGTATCTTTGGATCAATTTGTCATGGACTATACTGACTTTATTCCAGCTATCTTAAGATGCTATGTTTCCATAGTTTGTCTGAAACAAACAAAACCTAAGGGCAGACTCAGATTAACATAGGGGCTGTTGGAACTGAAGCTCCAGGCCCAGGCCACTGAAATAGGTTCATTGATACTTTGTGCAGATGGAAGTAGAGGGACATTATAGTCACCAGATCAACTACAGCTTTATGTAGTGGTTCTGGTGCCTGTAGCCTGTTCCGGCAGGATTTTCAATATATAGGCTGTCATTTCAGAGAAATTGCTGCCTCGTAACAACTCTAGTGGCAGTCACTCAGATGGTTGTACTTCCTAGTCCAGTGCTAAACAGTGTGCAGTACCTTTTAGCGTGCATGCGCAAAACCCTCTTAATACTTTATAATGGGAAAGCAGTGGATTGGCTAAGATCATCAAGATTGATAATCTCTGACATGGAGGCTGGGCCAGCCACGGCAAGACTGGCTGGGAAAAAAGGTGAGTAAATTCAGGGCAGAATATTAAAACCAGACTGACCTGCCAGTAATGTGGGTGAACTCCCCCTTTCCAGTGGGTCTGGCTTTTTTGGGAGTAGCCAATGATGTGATCATGTCACTGGTACACCCCCTAGGGAGGTCTGCATTAGATGCTTTAAAAAAGGCATAAAATGACCAGAACCATGCTGACAGTAAAAAGGACTTAAGAGGAAATGTTAATAAGCAGTTAAAGGTAAAATTGTGGATTTTTAAGAAATGTTCGCAGATTTTTTCTCAGAAACTGGAAGTGGTGCCCAAAAGGGTTCTACTGCATATTAACAGTAGTACCAAATGCTTTAAGAGTATGTGTTAATGTGTTTCAATCAAACAATTCTCAAAATCTCTCTTAACTTCATTTAACTGTGAAACTAAAACAATTTACCATATTTGTATTGGATATTTATATTATGCAATAGCCTTCCTCGTTAGATTATTAGTGCACGCCAAGAAAACCATTTACCCAAAAATAGAAAAAAAATTTGAGACACCTGAATTTTGGCCGAATTTTCAGTTTGAGGGTTATAAAACCGAGATTCTGGTTCGGAAACAAATCAAAAAAACAAAAAGTAAGAGGAAAGGAGCCAATCAATGTGCTGCAAAATATATATGAATACGACATATATGATTATAACACATATATACGTACACATACACATACACACGTTTGTGTGTTTCAGTTGGTTAGTGATTCGGGTATATATCAGCTTGGAGCTTGGGAACTAATCACTCGGTCGGCCCAAATTTCAGTTCAAACTTCAGTTCAGACTTGTGTGAAGGTAGTTGGGATAGTGTAGGAAGAAATCCCTTTTACTTATCAACTTACCCAGAATAACATGACGCAAGACGTAAATGGTGACAAACAGGCCACAGCTTTATTTAAAACAATACCATTATTAACATAACACATTAACATGACATTCATTAACCGCAACTTCCATTACCAGATCCTTGCCAACCATTTAACATGACCTGGGCACTTGCCTCCACCCTCATCCATACACCACAATTGGCCTTCCAACTGGCCTTCAAATACCATCCATGCTAATCACTGGCTTTTGCTCAGTGGGCACTGTAGCGGAGATGCAATATTCCCCAGGTATCTCCGCTTATAATCCAAGTGAGGCTCAGGAACAAGTAAATTGTAAATCCACAGGCAAGGTCTCCAGCAGGCAAAATAACACAGCAGTATCCCAATAGCAATCCCAATAACTGGACGACACACAGTTTCAGGAGCAGAACTGAAATCTTTTAATCCACACTGTCCTTTTAAAGCATGCTCCCATGCAAGGGAGGGATTTACAATCATTAGTACAGTAGCCAATCCTGTCCTGGTAACCTCCCACCCATCTCCTCCCCTCAGCCGGCATCATAATCCCCTTATCCAGTCTAGCAATTCCCCCCGTTTCTGGATGTACCCCTAAACGTAGGGGTACCCCTTTAAATCCTACATCCCCTGATAGCCCTGATCTGGGTGAACAACATATCCAAAAATCACCCAGATCAGACCAGGGGTTCGGGAAATGTATGGAGGGAATAAAATGACCGACCGCACTGACTGAGATAGCCGAATGCGGTTCCATGCGAATGGGCCCTGTGGTCGGTCCTGGAATAAGGGAACAAATTGCACGAAAGCCTCTAGCTATAGAGGCAAGGGAGGGTTCGCCTGAATCCCCTAGTTCGGTTCTTTCTATCTACCGAACGAGGGGCCGTTCGGTAGTTAGGAACCGAACGGACCGGGCTTGTGGAGGATTCAGCGGTGTTCACCTAGTCGAGTGTCCGATTTGAGTTCCAGACACTCGACGGCAAAACACCGCTGTTCGGGAGTTTTAAAATGGCCGCCGCCACGTGTTCGTTTGTCGAATGGCGGCCCCCCCTGAGAACAAAGGACGGCTACTTCCCTTGTCACTTACCCGTTCGCAACAATGTTGCAACGGGTAATTGAGAACACACTTCACACAGGGGAGGTCTGACTGTCGGTAGTTTCATTCGAACAAACCAAGGGAATGAAACTACCTTACATTCAGAAAATCCAATACATTTACACATATAACTTAGCTATTTCACACGAATACATTCCCTTACTGCAAAGACATTTACCAAATAGACGAATACAGTTTAAACATAATGTAAGTCACAGGGCAGCTCGTGGCCCTCCGCTACAATGCTTTACCACAGGTGGGTCCCTTTGTATTCAGTCAAACCGATACTATCACTACAGGCAGATTGTCCCTTTCCTTGCAGAACTGGGAAGAGATCTCCATAGATGCATGGATCCTGCAGATGGTACGGGGCTATCTCATCTAATTCTACGCTCCCCCTTGCCAACGATACCTGCCAACACCACTTTGGATTTCCAGGGATCACAAGACACTTATAGACGAAGAAATCCACTCACTATTCTCCAAGGACGCGGTACAATATGCAAAGGACGACGGTTCTTTTCTTCTTCCTGGTTCAGAAAAAGACTGGGGACTTCTGTCCGTTTATTAACCTGAGACAGCTCAATTCCTTTGTGGTGTACCGCCATTTAAAAATGGAAGGAATTCATCTACTATGAGACCTCCTACTGAAAGGTGACTAGTTCACCCATTTGGACCTCAAAGACGCCTACCTATCGGTACAGGTGGACCCCTCATGTCGCAGGTTCCTCTGTTTTCATGGGTGAGGCCGTCCATGCCAGTTCACTTGCCTCCCATTCAGACTCAGCTCAGCCCCATGGTGTTTCACGAAACTGTTGAAACCGATCATGGCTTGTCTCCGTTCTATGGGAGTAAGATGCAACGTTTATCTAGACGATTTTCTGCAACTCGGTGTCATGACTACAATCTCAGACGACCTTTGCCGCATGCTTAGTCGAATACTTGGGCTTGATAGTCAACCGGGACAAGTCAGCACTAGTGCCGACCGGATCATCCAATTCCTGGTATTCTAAATAGATTTGAAATTGTGTGTGCTACGCCTTCCCCTCCAGAAAATAAAAGCCATTCAGAAGGAAATTCGGAAGCTACTACAGATGGCGCATGTTCCTCTACGACTGCTGGCCAGGATCGTTTGCCTCCTCTCGGCCTCCATACAAGCAATTTACCCGGGCCCCCTCCACTATGGGGCCATGCAGGTTTCTCATACGACCAGAAGGTTCCACTCAACACCGAAATACGTACAGAACTCCATGGTGGCTCCGACACATGCAGGCTTGGAACGGGAAGGCCATCACCAGATTTCATGGTGGAGTCGGATGCCAGCCTCTGGGGCTGAGGAGCACACTGTGCAGACTCTTCCACGGGAGGACCTTGGTTGTGTGAGGAGACCCATCTACATATCAACTGCTTGGAAATGATTGCGGGGTCCTTCACTATTCGCAACATGACCAATTGCTGCATTCTACTGCGCATGGACAATGTCTAGGCCGTCCAATATATCAACCGCCTACGTGCTCTCAGGCTTTATTTAAAGTGACCAAGGACATATACAGTTTTTGCCTATCCCGTAACATAACACTGCAGGAGGAATACCTGCCAGGAATATCCAGCTGCACGGTGGATTGGTACTCACTACACTGGAGGGATAGCTGTCACTGGCGCCTCCACGAGACGATCTTCCACAGACTAGTCGACTGCAGGGGCCCGTTCCAACTCGACCTATTAGCTTCCCGGACCAACCGTCAACTTTCCAGATTCTTCAGGTGGCTTCCGGATCCGGAATGGGCAGTGGACAAATTTCTTCAGAGATGGCCACCGAACAGAGCCTATGCATTCCCTCCATTCTTCATGTTGGCAAGAGTCCTACACCAAGTTCGAGCTCAGGGAACCTCTCTACTTCTCATCGACCCGTTATGTCCAAGCCAGGCTTGGTTCCCGGACTTATTGGAACTATCGTCCGAAGACTTTCTCCTCATCCCTTCATTCCCTCATCTCCTGACGCCTCACCCCCTCATCCTCTAAGACCATCTGGAACTCATGGCTTGGATGATTTCAGGGGATCCTGGTCAGTCAATGGCCCTTCACTAGGGACCAGCTATGGGACTCGTGGGCGCCTGGCACTAGGCACAGCTAAGGGACTCGTGGGCGCCTGGCACTAGGCACAGTTAATGCCTGGAACAAATGGACTGGCTGGTGTTTGGAAAGAGACTCCGATCCCTTTATGGCACCTATTCCCATAGTTTTGAAATTTTTGTCTCATCTGTTTTCATCGGGACTAGCCAATCGCTCCATCAACGTTTCACATTCGGCCATTTTGGAGGTCTACATTCCGATTCAGGGCCTACCTGTTGGTCAAGATCCACTGGTTTGTAGACTACTCTGCGGAATTAAATTATCATGTCCTCCGGCTCTGAAATATGCACGCCTTTGGGATGTCGACATTGTCCTACGTTTCCTCCTTGGCTGGCCGGACAATTCCTTGTTATTGTTATGTCAACTCTCCGTGAAACTGACACTTTTGCTCTGTTTAGTGTCCTTTCGTCGGGTATCCGACGTTCAAGCTTTCGACGTGAATGGGATCTCGTTCACTCCGGAAGGTTTTTTTTTGGGTTGTTTCTCAATGCACTAAGACTGATTCTACAACTTTTTTTTATCAATTTTTCCCTCAGGATCCTCAGCTCTGCATGGTTAAGACGTTATTACGTATAGAGATTACTGCGCTCCTCCAAGGACCAATAACACATATCATATGTCCAACCACATCGATAGGTAACAGACACTACTTTGGTTAGATGGGTACACTGGCTTCTATCCCTAGCTGGTGTTAAATCTTGTTTCGGAGCGCATTTGGTATGCGGTGCGGCTGTGTCGCAGGCATTTTCGGCGGCGGGTGCTTCACTTGCTGATACCATGCATTCAGCCAACTGGTCACGCGAAGATACGTTCCTTATTTTCTATTTTGCCTTTCTTCTCATGCTTCTTTTGCTCTTCTTCCTTAACGTTAAAAATGCAAAAGCCTCCTATCATGTGGTAAAATTGTAGATTATGCTATAATCTTAATTTTAGTAATGACAGGAGGAGAGTATTTTTCCTCCCTATTCTTTCTTA